GTGTGGACATTGCACACATCAGCTCCACTCCATCGGCGAGCGCCCACATCCAGCCACGCTCTGTGGGTGTGTGGGTCACCCTTGTCCACACGGACACACACCCACGCAATAACACACGTTCCTCCAGGTCCTGTCGAAATTCGTAAGTTTTGGTAAATTGCAGCATAACTTTATTGTTGCCAGATATTGCTAGATAGGTTAATCCAGTAGGGAAGCAATTCTGAAAAATACTCTTTAAGTGACCTTATTTTAAAATGAACTTCCCCTAATGATGTTTCTATGGCAACCAAAAAAAAATCACCCCCCCCCCAATTAAAAAAAATCATAAAAAAGATTTTTTTTATGAAAACAACAAACCCCGAAAACAACAAACCCCGAAAACAACAAACCAAACCAAATATTTGCGGTATAACTAAATTCTCCTCTAATAACTAGGACTGGAATTAAAGTCAGTGGCAGTCCGGATTTAGCTGTTGTAAATCTTGACTTCTAGTGTAGTTCTCGTCTTACTCTTTCTACTTGTTCGGCAAAGGACCTGTCTGCCGCAGGGAGAAACGATTCTGCCACTTCACCTAAGCGAGGTGATTCTAACCATGCACTTGGAGGTATTTACATCTGCACTTTATTCAATACTCTTTATCATCTTCCTTCTCTTGCAGATCGCCAGGTGCCAAGCCACTTTGAAGCCTCTTGTCTGAAACCGCCTTACTTTCAAAATAAAAAAGAACAGCGTCGAAAACAAAACCTTACAGCCGTCCTTCCCCCAGACACAGCAACACAAATCCCTTTCGTATCATTTAATCACAGCTATAACCCGACAGCCCTTGCCTTTTGTCATTACCGTGCCAGAAGATATTTACCACTATTGTCGGTAATATTCTTAGAGCTTTCCCTTCCCAACTCCTTCTTGCACATCCAGAGGTGCACAGACACCCGCCTCCCTGCCTTCTCCATCTCTTGGTCAGTTTGCAACTGGGTGGTTTGGTTCATTTCCTCCTTTTTTATACATCATTTGCAAACTCCTGTGTCTCTGGCTCTCTGCGGGGTGGTGATGTGGCTACAGACCCTCTGCAATTTTGTACTCCTGCGTGTGTGTGTGCTGGTGTGTGTCAGTCTGCACACCCGTGTGCGTGTGTGCACTCCAGAAAAAGGCGATGTTTGTCTGTCCTCTCCCTACACGCGGAATCCAGGCCAGTGCGATGTGGAGCTCAATAAGAAACTGCATGAATAAACACGAATAGAAAGTTGTGCTCAGCTAACCGAGGAAATCAGAGCAATACCAGGGCACCAACGTCCACATTTCTTTTCACTTCGGGCCGGGGCAGTAACCTCATCCGGGTATGCTAAAAATTAAGGGCAACGGGCAAGCAGATTCAAGTCCCTCGAAAAGGCTGCTGTAATTGATCAGACAGAGAGAGATGGGGTGCCCGAAGCCCACGCCTGACCGTGGAGGGCCAGCAACAGCCGCGGCCCAGCAGGCACACAAAGGACCCCCAGCCATGCTGAAGGGCTCGGGCAGCCACCACGGAGAGAGAGAGGGAGGGAGCGAGGGAGGGAGGGAGGGAGGCAGGTGGCGTCGGTGTCCCCAGACCTCCGCGCCGGGTGGCACGCACGCCGCTGGACCCGCAAATCGGGGCTAGCTGGGAATGAACACAGCAGTGTTACAGCAGCGTTATAGGCGAGGGGTGGGTGCTGAGGGGGTTAACCACGGTCTCCAAACTGCTCCGGAACCGGCTGGTCTCGGCCCGACTTCCGACGGGCGGGGCGGGGCAGTGCCCCCGCGGCGGGGCGAGGGCGGCGGAGCGGGACGGAGCGGGCCGGGCAGGCGGCTCGCTGGGCTCCGGCCATCTGCCTCCTGTCCTCCGGCTTTCTCTTCAATATTGATCAGACGCACTTCAGCCTCTGAGTAATTTCATCTTAATCAGAGGCCGGGCTCGGCGCGGATAACAAACTAACGCTGGAGAGGGCCTGTGGATAATGCCGGGCCAGGGGCAGGGAGGAGGCAGCCCTCGGGTTTGGTGGGGCTCGATAGGCCCTATCTTCCCGGGGCAGATGGACTTAGTGGGTGAGAAGGCTTAAACGCAGCTTTTCATAGATTTACACCTCAATCAGCCATTCAGGTTTTTTATGCAAATCCTAAAACAACATCATTTATCCATTACGAAGCCCGGCTTTGGAACGGCATATCATTAGCTGCGGCCTTGGCACCCCCAAACCGTGCAGGCACCGACGCCCCCTGGATGAGACGTGTCCTGTCCCCCCACAAACCCCGACGGCTCCGGGGACAGGCAGACACCCCCAGCTCGGCTGGGGCGGCTCCTCCTTCGGGTTTGGGCCGGGGATCCAGCCAAAGGAGCAACTTTTTGGGGATGGAGGTGACAAATGGCGCGGGAGAGTAAAGGCCCTGCCTTCAGCTTAAGCTGTGCTGGAGCCTAAGGCCAGGTACGGGTGGGGCAAGGCTAAGGGCGATCTCTGGCCTCCCCGAGCAGCCACGGCACGACGGGGCGATATTCGGGAGGCTTAATCGGAGGGAAGAAGAATCCAAACCTATCAGTGTAAGGCTGAGCTGAGGTAGATTATTGCTGCCGGCTGGACGCCTTCTAGCTGCAGCTTCGAGACGCGAAAATGAAAAGAAAGGAAAAAAGTATGTCCCAAACTTTCACGCCTCTGAATCCTTTCAGGTATTAAATTCCGTCAAAAACGACGCTGCAATCAGAGAGGAACAGAAATACTGCCCTTAAAAACAATGTACCGACACCAAAGATCTTCCCACCCAGAACTGGGGGTGACTGGAAAGCCAGTTTGTCCTTCTAAAGGCCTCTCCGCTGCCTCTCTGCCGGCGGGGAGAGAAAAAGCAGCCCAAGCTCTAGCGAGTGACCCGGCGAGGGTGTGCCGGCCACTGGGGGACCTTTATCCCCTCCCGGGCAATATTTTTCCCTTCAAAAAGCCGCGTGGGGGAGGGGAAGAGCTAGGTCCATCGCACCACCCACGCGGAACACGGCAGCCCCATTGTGCGCCTGCCCCCAGGCAGCTCCCGTCCGTTCCAGTTTCGTACGACGGGAATTTATTTTCTATTAGCTCCCCACTCGCGTTGGCGGCGGGCCAGCGGCACGGCCGGAGCTGCCCGTGGGGAGGGCCCCGGCTCTGCCCCGGGCCGTGCGTGTCCCCGGGCGCGGTGGGACGAGCTCCCCACGGGCGCACTGCGCTCACACCCGCGGCTCCTCCTCAGGGGAACCTCAGGTGTGCGAGCGTGGCCACACACCAGTTTGTCCTTTAAAATTACCCCTTGGTGGCTCGGCCTAAAATCCCGCACCCTATGGCGGTTCTCCCAAATCCACAGGTAGCCTCGTGAGGCGTGGGGGGGAAGGGAAGAGGGGGGAAAGAGCCCATGCGCTTTCTGTGTCTCTCCGCAGACCTAACTCGGACTTCACTAAAAAAAAAAAAGAGGGAGAGAGGATTCGGGCAACACAAAGGTAGATGGGAAGACCATACTAGTTTGGAAATGGTCAAGAAATTCCAGGCACGTTTCTCTCTAAATCCCTGGTAATATTCAAAATTGTATTTTCAAGTAAAAACAAGTTTAAAATTCACCTCTTGCTAATTCGCGACTGAAAAATCTGCCCAGGGCAAAGCAAAACTTTAAGGAAAAAGAAAAAAAGAAAAAGGGAAAAGGAAAGAAAGAAAGATGCTGAAATACTGTTAGTCATGCAAATAAAGGCTTCTTTCAGCACATTACAATATACTCCGGATTCGAGGGGAGGAGCTGCAACCCGTTAAGGGAGAGGAATTTTTGTTTTTGTTTTCATTTAAAGCTACAAAACAAATCCCGAAATGTCTTAACCGCTCTCTGGAGACACCCATCCTTGCAGGCAGGCGGTCGGGGAAAAGCTTTTTAGCTCGCAGTGCACAAAAACCATGACCGGGGCGAGGGGAAACGATGGAGTCCGCCGTGGCGGAGGGGACACGGAGGGGGACACGGCCGTGCCCGGCGCCGCCGCTGTCGCAGCGCGGTGTCCCCGCAGCCTCCTGGCAGGGTGGCTCGGTCCCTGTGGGATCCTGCGGCTGTCCCGCCGAGCCGGGCAGGGCAGGGCAGGGCCGGAGCGGCGCAGGGGCCGCGCAGCGCCGCGGGACAGAGCGGGGCCAGCGGCCCACGGGGAAGGAGGGATTTTCCGTGGCGGACAGAAACACCGACATCGCTGGGTAGATAAGAAAATGGAATACTGTATTTGATTTAGAAAGTTTGTACATATAGATAAACACGCAGTTAAGGAAACAATAGTTTAAGCGTCCTACGTGGAGTTTAAGAAGAGACCCCCCAAAGCTGCTATGAAATACTCAAAATAGCTTTTGCATAAGATAACTACAGTTGCACCCTAAGCTTTTTTTTTTCTTTTTCTTTTTTTTTTTTTTCTATCGCTGAGGTCCCTTTTGGAAACCAAGCACGTCAGATTTTGACGGCTAAGTTTGTGCAAGGAACACCGAGTCAAGGAAAATAAAAAGGAGAGCGAGAGAAAGGGTTGGAGGGAGATAGAGAGAGGGGAGGAAGAAAGAGGAGAGCAAATATCATATACAAGCATTTCTACACATATATTACAAACTGGGAAAATGACCGCATCATTAAGATATACATAATTCATATAAAATTTTGAAATAAAAATAAAAATCTGTTACAGTCATAACTATTCTTTTTCCACATTTATAACCAGTACCCACACAGGCAGTGACAGAAGTGTAGAAAAAAAGGTGCTTACGAATAAAATGATTGTCTGCTGAACAAAAAAACAGAAAATTGCATCTTGGCTGGACCATCACTCGGACTAAAAAAAAAAAAAAAAAAAGGACAGAGAAAGAGAGAGGAAGAGAGAAAGAGAAATAGGACCAACAAAAAGGCGATAAACATTTGTTATTTCCCTCTTCAAGGAGTTCCTTTTAATTTTTTTTTTTATTTTTGATTTTTGTACAAATTCGATCGGAGTTTGCATTTGTTTGTCTGGTTTCTGTTTGTTTTCCTTTACTATAGAGAATATTTTTTCCCAGATACAAATTTAATCATCATCATCATGCAAGTGGGTGAAATGCGTCCATGGAAAAGCGCAAAGGAGAAATCGTGCTTGTCCTAAAAAGAATACAATTGTCACTTTTGCTTTGTTTTTTTTTTTTCCTTTCTTTTTATATATATAATAATTATTATTTCCCGCCCTCCCCCCCACCCTTCCCGCTGCAGCACCAGCGTTTGTGACTGTTGAAGTTTTAGCTCCATCTCTTGGTGGTGGTGTTGGCTGACGGTGGTGGTGGTGGATTCTCTGATCCCTGTCTGTTTGTTTGCTATTATGTTTGGGTCGGGTTTGGCCTTTTCTTTCCTCCCGGCTGTGTGTGTGCGTGCATGCGTGTGTGTGTCCTGATTCTAGGTTGCCTCGGTTTGTTTTGCTCGGGACGGGGAGAGGGTGCTTGGCTGTTTGGATTTGGATTTTTTGTTTGTTTGTTTGTTTGTTTGTTTTCCGATATCATACATCACATTCCGAGTCGCTGGAGGTTACCGAGAGGATGGAGGTGCCCGTCTCGGCTCTTTCTGTCAAACTGGAGACGCTGGTGGTCGGGCTGGCCGCCGTGGACGGAGACTCGGCCGAGCTGTGTGTCGGGCAGCCGGGCTCTGCCAGCGACCGCATGCCGCTCTGTCCTATCGCCTGGTGCTGGAGCCTGCATCGCGCCGGGAGACAAAACAACAGCACAGCCCCGCTCAGACCCCGGGCGCGGCCGAGGGCACGGCCCGCAGCGGGAGCGGCGCTGGGCCCGGGCTCTCCCTCCCGCAGCCCCCGCGCAGCCCCGGGCGGCGGCAGGGCCGGGCCGGGCCGGGCCGGGCAGGGCCGCGCCGTCCCCGCTGCCGGGCAGGCCAGGCCGCCGCGGGGGGACGCGGCCGGAGCACACCCGGGCACGGGGAGCGCGGTCTGACCCGGGACGGGAGCGCGGGGACATCGCTGCCCCGTGCCCGCCTTGGAAAACACGAGCAGCGCCCTCGCTTTCCGCGCATAAAGTGCCGTTCATTGGTGCCCGAGCGCGGCGGGCCTAGGAGACAGCGTGCGGGGGTGCCGCGCTCGGACACCGCAAACAGCTCCGAGGAGCCGCCCGCAGCGGGCAGGAATCGCACCGGAGCCCCGCTTGGTGCTCTAGCCAACACCTGCCTAAATATTCCCCAGCGCACGGACACCGTGAGTCTGCGGTAGGGAAGGAGGGAGGTCCTGTCCCAGGGACGCAGCGCAATGAATAAAATAAAAGAAGGAGAATGTGGAACACAGCGCTTCTCTCCCCTCGAAATTTAAGTCCTTTTTTAAACTGAAAGCCATAATCAGCTTTAAAGTGCTTTTTCTTTCATTTCTTTCATTGTTAACGCTTAAGGGAATATTACATATGAATTTTTTTTAAGAGTCAATAAATATTTTTTAGATACGCTAGCATATTGCAAATATTCCTCTGGGCCCGTTTATTCCACTCGAAACCCAAAGAAAGCCTAATTCAGGGATAAGAGCTGAAAGTCCTGGACTGAGCAACCAGCCTCAACCTCTAGCCCCCAGGATTGTCTGTGTGAATCAAAACACACTCTTCGCTCGAATGTTTCTCACCGGCATATTTTTTTTTTATTTAACTTCCTGCAAAGAACAGAAAAAATGTAGCCGGTTTATTCTACATTTCTCATTATTTTAAGCTGTCTAATTTCAGGGTCTTTGATTTTTCTCCCATTTACTAATCCTGGTGCATTCATCTGCTGTCAACAGCGTTGAGTCAACAAAAGCATCCGTAGGCAACTTCTGTTTATTTACAGTCCTAAGCTGATCTGTTTTCCATTTAATGGAAATTAAATAGCGAGGCACTTTTAGGTTGCATTTCTCCTACAGAATCTTTAATCAGTAGCACCACTGCTGTAATTAGAAGGAATTTAAGAGACAGCATTTATAAGAAGAAGTTTTTGTTTACACTGGCGTTTTATTTACCGCTTACAGTGGTAGCGAAACTTAAATTAAAATAAAACCAATGTGTCAAACTAAATTAAGGGTCCATTTTCATTTGCGAAATAACTTTTTCGACAGTAATGAGAAAGAAAGAAAAAAAGCAAAAGAAAGGAAGAAGGGTGCCTCGCTTTTATCATGGCAAAGCGGAAAAGAAAAAAAAAAAAAAAGAAAAAAGACACCGAGAGACACGCAAATAAATGCAAGTGTAAATGCACAGGAAACACAAGACCAGGAGGCCAGGTCGCCATGTGGTGTAAACACAGAAATGGAGACGCAGGGGGAAAAAAGATTCCCGGTCTCTTAAATGCTGTTTTGTTTTTGATTTTGGTGTGGGGTTTTGGTTTGGTTTTTTTTGGTTTTTTTTGGATTTTTTCCCGTGAGCTAAAGAGCTCTGGGGTATGCCTGTGCTGGTCCCGCTGCGCATGCAGAGCAGCACGAACAATTGGAGCGGAGCCGCCGGCTCCGCCGCAACCCGCTCTGAACCGCGCAGCCTGCCTCGGCCTTTCGGCCGCGGAGCCGCGCCTGAGAGCGGCCAGGCACAAATCCCGGCCAGCCCGAAGCCGAAGCGAAGCCCACCGAACCGACCGGAGCCGCGCGGTTTCCCGTCCCCCGCGCCAGCCGCCGGAGCAGGGAGGGAGGGAGGGAGGCCGGGAGAGCCGCGGCAGCCGCGGTGCTCCGCGCATATCGGCACTCAGGCGCGCCCGCGGAGCTGCCCACGCCCGCCGGGAGCCCCAGCCCTGCCCGCAGCCCGAGAGCTCGCAGGGAGCCGGGGCAGGGGGCTGGAGGCACGTCAGGCAACTTTGAGCCGTGCCTGTCCCCGTCGCATCCCCGCGGCTGCCGGGAGAAGACCTACCCGCCCGGCGGGGGGACCGGTTTCTCCCCGCTGGAGAGGAGGAGGAGGAGGAGGAAAGGGGAGGCAGAGGCGCGCTGTCGGCCCGGCGGCTGCCGAGCAGCGGAGCGCGGCCGCCCGCCCGCCCGCACGGTCCCGCCGCCCACCTCGCCCCCCGGCCGGAGAGCGGCACGGCAGCCCCACTGACCTGTTCTTAGCCGCCGCCGCTCTGTCTCTTTGCCTTCGGTTTTTGAACCAGTTGCCTACTTGCGTGGGGGTGAGCCCCGTGGCCTGAGCCAGTTCCCTTTTCTTGCTGGGGTTGGGGTAAGGGTCCTGCAGGTACCACTCCCTCAGGAGGCTGCGAGTCCTCTCCTTGAAGCAGTGCGTCTTCTGCTCGCCATCCCAAATGGTCCTGGGCAGCGGAAACTTCTTCCTCACCCTGTATTTATCAACCGGCCCCAGCGGGCGACCCCTTAGCTTCTCGGCCTCCTGGTAGTGCGCTTCGAGCCACATGGCCTGCAACTTGCCGTGGGACTCCTTGGTGAATTTGTGGTTCTCCAGGATGTGGTAGAGGTCTCGGAAGTTGCCCGTGTGGAAGGCCACCACCGCCCGGGCGCGGAGGATGGACTCGTGCTTGTTGATGGCCTCGCATGCCCCCGGCGCCACCGGCAGCGACCAGAGGAACCTCCCCAGCCTTTCTATGTCTCCAGTCTCCTCCAGCGTCTCGCAGACGCTGGCCACTTGCTCCGGGGAGAAGTTGAGTGTGGGCAGCTGAAACATTGACAACTCTTCGTGGGGTGCCCGGGAGCTGCCGCCTCCACCGCCGCCGGCACCGGGGCTGCAGCCCGAGCCGCTGCCGCTGCCGCCGCCGCCGCTGGCGAGAAGGAGCGAGCGGTGGTGCGGATCGGCGGCGAAGTTTGGCAAGAAGAAATGGGTGGGATAAAGCTCTAGCGGGGACCTGAACACCATGGGATGACCGGGGAGAGGGGGAGATAAATCAAGGAGAAAAGAAAGAAAGGGAGGAAGAAGGGAGGAAAGGGCACACGCACCGCGCACGCATCCACACCCGCACACGCACACACAGCCACATAGAGGCACGGGGGCACACACACTCACACGCACACGCGGGCACACGCACACGCGCGCTCACACGCACCCCACACGCACACGCACTCACACACACCCGGCCCCGCGCCGCCGCCGAGTCAGGATTCAGTGATTCAACAGCGATCGCCCTAATGACAACAGCCTCATAATATCTCCCCTAAATCCACAGTGAGTGCAGCGCTGAAACATTTTGTTTCGCTTTTCTATTGGTCTTCTGAGTGTCGTTGTGGCGTTGCCATGGCAGCCGCTGCCAATCACTGTCAGCCCTGCCAATCATTACGGAGTACGTAAGGGAGGTTTTTACCACTTCGCCCAAATGCACGGGGGGGAGGGAAGCCGGGCGGTTGGTGGAAAAGCCTGGTTTGTTGTTTGGATTTTTTTTTTCCTCCTTAATCTTTGTAACTCCTAATCTCAGCACTTCCCCTTCTCCCTGTCTCTCCCCCCTCCTTCTCCACACCCCTCCTAAATAAGGGATCAAATAATGCGAAAAGCAGTGTGCACATATTTGTTGAATGGGATGAGCAATTAGAGGGTGGAATATTATTGTGATCTTAACGAGCCTCGTTAAAGCTAAAGGAGATATGGGGGAAAAGTAAATGGGCCAGGCTGGGATACGCGTTCGGATAAAGGGCTCCTAACTGAGACAATTTACACATGATTTGCACGTAGTTTCACTTCATTCTGCCTATCTGAGCACTAATAGTGCCGGGGAAGAAAAGAAAGATGAGATCATTAGACCCATCCTCGCGCCGGTGACCCTCCCAGAAGCAGGCACATACAGTACAGGCTGGGTTTAGCCCTGCTTCACCCAGGAGTCTCTCCTCCCCGCTCCCTGCGCCTCTCCGCGGAAGGAGGGATCCGCTGTGCGCGGAGTTCCGCGGCCGCTCCGCCGGGAGCCGCCCGGGGCGCCCAGCCCGGCTCCGCTCCGGCCGCCCGGCTCCGCCGCCGACCCCAGCTCGCTGCCTCCCCCGTCCCACTCCTCGCCTCCCCGCCCTCCCGCTCCTTCTCGTCTTCCCTTCCCCTCTCCTTTCTCTTCCTTCTCCCCACTTTGTTTTTCTTGTATTCTGGCTTTCCTCCTCCCACTCGCCTCACCTCCCCTCGCCCCTTCCTTTCTCCGGAGCCCAGCGACCTTGCGAGGTTGTTCCTCACCCCCAAATCGGCCGGGGCTTTACGCCGTACCTCGCCTTTTCCCCGCTAACTCTGCCCCCCAACTTGCAAGGCTCTCGTACTGGGAAGAGGAAAGGGATGCGAGCCAAAGTGGTTTTGAGCTTTTTAAAAAAATTATTCATTTATTTATTTTTTTTATTATGAAATTGAGAGCAGGGAAAATATCCGTAGTGGTGGTTTGAGTTCATCCCTCAGTAAAACACAGCTGGGTCGTCAGACCTTGCTACCATGCAACTATATTTATTATTAGGTATGTTGCTTTTAAGAAGATTTAATCAGCATCTTGAGCTGGTAACTCTTTTGTTTGGTTTCTGTAGCTATGGAAGTGTGATTTACAGAGATTTGTACGGGTCATGGACATCTTTCCAGACTTACTGTGTATATTTAGACAGGACTTTGCTTGGTGTTAAAAAGTGTATATTTTGAATAGGTTCACACACAGTAGCAAACAATACCGACATTGTAAAGGCATGTACAACGAGTATTGAAACGCAGCATCCAGACTTCAACTAATCTGCCCTCAATAAAGCTGAAATAATTATCCTAAGCCGCCTTTCTAGAAGAAAAATCATTCAGGAATTCAAAACTTTTTTAAAGATCTTTTCTGCATTCCGATGGAGATCGAGGGGTGAGGCTTGGAGCCCAAACTACTTTCAGACATCAATGGAGGGAAGGAGGGGGGGAAGTGAGATATTACAATTAAAATGTGAAAACATAGCGTGACTTGCCCTATCCGAAGGATAATAATAATACTGCTATGGGTGGTAGAAGTTCTTTAGCTGCGCTCCAAACTGGTTGTGATCCTTTCACAGCGCACTCCTCGTGAAATAATTCCAAGTGGCAGATGAATAGGTCCAGTTGGAAGAGCTGCTGGACTGGAAGAAGCTCGCTGTATGACACATTCATCTGATTTCCACTAAACTGTCATCGGTGTGCTACGTGGCTTCATAGTCCTAATGGAAATAATTCGCCCTCTTAATTTTTAGTGATCTGCTTAAGCACTTCTGTTAACAGACTTGGGGAAAACTTCTTTTCACCCTCCCACCTTCCCTGGCTCGTATTTCCAGTCGTACAGCTAAGGAGGGAAAGAGACTTCTCAGCCCCTCTACAAATCGACTTGGAGGTATTAATTGGACAACAATATGTTTAGCCAAAGATTTTAATACACACACACACACAAAATCTTTTTCTTTGTAATCCTTTCCTTTTATGTAAAGGATTATAGAGGGGAGAGTGGGGGGAATTCCTGCGGGAGTTTCTTAATATTTGATTCCATTTTTCTTCGAGCTGCAAATTAAACTACCTTAAAATGTATTTCCAGAATAACATGCAAACCGTCTCTGTTGTTTTGGATTGGGGTTTTTTTTTAAATCTCAAGGACTATCATATACTGGTCGTTCGGCTTTAGGTTGCAACCCCTCTATTAGTATTCCTGATGAATCTCTGAAAGCTTCTACATATATTCTTTCTTTCTCTCCCTCTCTTTTCCTTCAGCTCTCCCCCCCCCCCTTTTATTTTTTACCTTTCTCTCCACCATACATAAACAAGTAACAACTGCATTTCTGGCGAAAATATTTCTTCCACAATATCCTTCCTTGTGGTATTTTAATGCGTGTATTCTGTGTGTGTGTGTTTACTACCAAACAAACCCACAACCCTGCCCATCAGCTAGCACCAAGGTCTTGCTGAAGCCCAGTCTCCTCTCTGTGCCGCCAGGTCCAGCACGGGAGCTCTGTAGGCCAGAGGCTCTTACGAGGACGGAGCCGGCATCCTCAGGCGTTCCCGCCGCTCCCGCGCTGCAGACGCGGCTCACCGAGGCTCGGTGGTGGCCAGCCAGACCTCGGGGAGCAGATCCTGCGCTTGCCCAGCGCGGCCGGGGATTCAGCGCTCCCCTAAGCCTGTTAGGGACACACTCTCATGTCCTGAAATGTGCAAGCAGATAATTGTTGGCGCTCCAGCTTTGTGCGAGGAGGCCAGGGTGTAAATGGCTTTTAATGACTGCAGCTGCTGGCTGCAAACTGTCAATGGGATCGGCTAATACGGAGCCCGGACCCGCCGGGCGCCCAGCCGCAGCCGCCGCCGCCGCGGGGCGGGCGCGGAGGGGCGCGGAGCGGAGCGCAGGAGCGCAGGAGCGGCGGCGCAGCGGGGCGCCCCGGCGGGCGCGGAGCCGGGCGCGGTCGGCGGCGGCGGCGGACGGGGCCGGGCAGCGGCTGCCCTCTCGGCCGGGGAAATCCTTTCCGGATCCTGTAAGTTTGTTACGGGCGGGCGGAGGTCCCGCGGGGAGCGCCCGGGGGGTGCGCGGCCTCCCCTCCGCCCCCGGCCCTTCCCCACCCACCCCCGCGCTGGGGCCCGGGGTCCCTGTGCCCCGGCCACGGCCGTCCTCTCCAGGCCGGGGAACCTGCCGTCCGCTCCCAGTCAATCGTACTCGGTCCCGCATGATTTATTGTTTCAGCTGCTGGAATGACATGCGGCTCTGCCGGGCAGGGGAGCAACCCTCCCCTTCTCCCCAAAAACCTCCCCCTAAACAAACCCGAGCCAGCCAGGGTTCTGTCCTGGAGGGAGCCCCGCGAAGTTGTGTGCGTGTGTGTGTGTCGGGCTGCCAACCTGAAGGACTTTTCTGGGGAGAGGAAGGGAAGCAGGGAGAGGAGCTCTTTTATTTCACTGCTTGTTTTGATGGTCGCTCCCAGGAGGCTGCGATTTTCTGCTGCCTAGTTAGTGCCTCTTAATCCTGACTCGGGAGCGACTCAGTCGACGCTTGCGAGCGCTGATTATTTTTTTTTTAATCGGGGGAGGCAGTGGTTCAGACGGGGCCGGGGCGTAGCGGTCGAGGTACCGGCGAGAGGAAAATGCAGCACTGCGGCCGCGGCGAGGGGGAAGCCAAGGGGGGGAGAAAGGGAGAGCCGGGGGCAGGTAAAGGAGAACCCATCGCGTTGGTCTCGTCAGGCTTTTTATGTTATTAATACAACGATATAATTGGATTTTTGTCAGTCTGCAAGGGCAAGGGCTGACAAATTTGCACGGATGCTATCTTTAAAAACACATCTATCTTCCTCCTTCCTTCCTTTCCTCTTTCTTTCTTCCTCTCTTTCTTCAGTCACGATTTCCCGGGATAAATGAATGCGCATTTGATGGGTGTGTAAGATGTGGCCCATCCGGCTGGCGTAACAGAGCTCTGTGGATGCGGTGTGCGCTGTACCGGCCGTGATAACAAACAAGTGGCAAGTGATGTTTTTTTAGTCGCTTGGATTGGCTTAAGAAGTCGAGGGGGTGTTTAATTAGTGGTCCAAAATACCGCTTCAGCTTCCAAGCTAAACTTCCGGGGACCCCTCTCACGCTTTATTTTGCATTAAACACCGAGGCTGGATGAGGGAAACGTGAAATAACAACAATTTTAAAATTACTTTTTAAAAAAAGGAAAAGTGAGAAAAGGAATGAGGCTCGCCTCCGCCGTGAGGTGACGGCTTGGGAAGCAGAAAACTTTCCCGAGGAGGTGAGGAAGCGGCAGCCGCCTCCCGGCTGGGCTGGGCTGCTTTCCCCCATCCCTCTGGGTCTGCTGGCAGCTCCCGCCAGTCGAAAGTTACCTGCTCTGCAGCAGGAGCAGCCGTGCAGTCGCTTGCTCCTGAATTAAACACAACTCTTAATGATGTAGCATTATCAACAAGGGACACTTGATTGACTGATCTAGGTATGATATATGTGCTTGGCTTCTAAATTAAATATTAAGTGAAATACTTAGCTCTAATTAGAAATCGTAGCCTAGCGATGAAAACTTGAAGAAACAAATTGCGGGGGGAGGAGGGGACAGGCTTTAAACGCTGCGGAGAGGAAAGTAGCGGTGATGTGTACAGAGTCTGACATATTAGCAACAAGCAGCAACTTCGAAATGATTGACGTGTCATTAAAGCCATCAGGCTGATTTTAATAAATCTTCAAGGAAAAAAAAAGGAAAGAAAAGCGAAGAAAAGTGCGGAACCTCGCAGACAGGTTATTTATTAATCGGCGCATTAAATCCGAGAGAAACATAATTAGAATGGGGGAGAAGGAGGGAAGGCGGGGGGAAATCTGTTGACGAATTGAGCAAATAAACGTCCGTAAAACAGCGACCATCCAGCTCGGGGCTTCTCTGGGAGATGGA